TGAGGAAAGTGAGACAGGCTTCAGCATGAGGTGAGGGAAAGTGAGGCAGGCTTCAGCATGAGGTGAGGAAAGTGAGGCAGGCTTCAGTATGAGGTGAGGAAAGTGAGGCAGGCTTCAGCATGAGGTGAGGAAAGTGAGGCAGGCTTCAGCATGAGGTGAGGAATGTGAGGCAGGCTTCAGTATGAGGTGAGGGAAAGTGAGGCAGGCTTCAATATGAGGTGAGGAAAGTGAGGCAGGCTTCAGTATGAGGTGAGGGAAAGTGAGGCAGGCCCTCCGCCTCTTTCCGCCTGAAATATACTGTCATCTGTTTCTGCATTTCATTACCATAGTGATTTTAACAGCTTGGTGGATCCAGTCTCCCTCTCTCTGATCACTAGAACAGCCCCCCATGCTGAGTTATGTCCACTGTCCAGCCCCATGCTGGGTTATGCCCACTGTCCAGCCCCATGCTGAGTTATGTCCACTGTCCAGCCCCATGCTGGGTTATGTCCACTGTCCAGCCCCATGCTGGGTTATGTCCACTGTCCAGCCCCATGCTGAGTTATGTCCACTGTCCAGCCCCATGCTGGGTTATGTCCACTGTCCAGCCCCATGCTGGGTTATGTCCACTGTCCAGCCCCATGCTGGGTTATGTCCACTGTCCAGCCCCATGCTGGGTTATGGCCACTGTCCAGCCCCATGCTGGGTTATGTCCACTGTCCAGCCCCATGCTGGGTTATGGCCACTGTCCAGCCCCATGCTGGGTAATGTCCACTGTCCAGCCCCATGCTGAGTTATGTCCACTGTCCAGCCCCATGCTGGTTATGTCCACTGTCCAGCCCCATGCTGAGTTATGTCCACTGTCCAGCCCCATGCTGGTTATGTCCACTGTCCAGCCCCATGCTGAGTTATGTCCACTGTCCAGCCCCATGCTGAGTTATGTCCACTGTCCAGCCCCATGCTGGTTATGTCCACTGTCCAGCCCCATGCTGAGTTATGTCCACTGTCCAGCCCCATGCTGAGTTATGTCCACTCTAGAACATGTTCTCCTAGGAATGGAACTATCAGGAAAAAGCGCCAAGCCATTACGACTATATAGCACTGGGAAGGGGTCAGGATAAGGATTTGGGATGGGACGGGGGGAAAGGAATGGTAACCACAACCACTTGTGGACGGTCGGGGGATTGAACACCGACCTGCATGAAAGCGAGACTGTCGTTCTACCGTCCAGCTCCAAGCTCCTAGGAACCAAAGCTCTCTCTCTCTTGAACACTTCCTCTCTAAAGTTAGGTAGCAACACTGTTAGTCGGAAACATTTGGGCCAGGTAGCAACACTGAGCCAGTAACATTTGGGCTAGGTAGCAACACTGAGCCAGTAACATTTAGGCTAGGTAGCAACACTGAGCCAGTAACATTTGGGCTAGGTAGCAACACTGAGCCAGTAACATTTGGGCTAGGTAGCAACACTGAGCCAGTAACATTTAGGCTAGGTAGCAACACTGAGCCAGTAACATTTGGGCTAGGTAGCAACACTGAGCCAGTAACATTTAGGCTAGGTAGCAACACTGAGCCAGTAACATTTGGGCCAGGTAGCAACACTGGGAGTCAGTAACATTTGGGCCAGGTAGCAACACTGGGAGTCAGAAACATTTGGGCTAGGTAGCAACACTGAGCCAGTGACACTTGGGCCAGGTAGCAACACTGGGAGTCAGTAACATTTGGGCTAGGTAGCAACACTGAGCCAGTGACATTTGGGCTAGGTAGCAACACTGAGCCAGTAACATTTGGGCTAGGTAGCAACAGTGGAACTCTTTGTTTCATCTACCAATTTCCTTTGCTGTATATCGCAGTAATTACCAACGTGAGATAGAGAGGAAGTGGGCCTCTGAAGGCCCTGGTGGTATATACTATTTGTGTCTGCAGAATCGAGCAATTAGCTCTTGGACCCCGCCTTTCTAACCAATTTATTGTTCTTCTATTAAATCTACTTCATATATTTCTAACACACACACACACATTCCCCAGGAAGCTGCCCGAAGCAAGCTGTCTAACTCTCCGCTACCTATTTACTGCTAGATGAACAGGAGCACAAGGGTGAAAGAACCCGGGGCCCTTAGGACTACGACCCCCAGAGCAGTGTTCACTCAGCCGCGTGAAGGGTCTGCTGGGGATGGTGTCTGCTGGGGATGGTGTCTGCTGGGGATGGTGTCTGCTGGGGATGGTGTCTGCTGGGGATGGTGTCTGCTGGGAACACTAGAGGCAACAGGAGGCAAGACAAAATATAACCTGTTGGAGCGGCGCCAATCCCGAGGGAGGAGAGGCTGTTGCATGCAACAGGATCAGGAAGAAGAGCAGCGGCAGCAGCGGCAGCAGCAGCAGCGGCAGCAGCGGCAGCAGCAGCAGCAGCAGCAGCGGCGGCAGCAGTAGCGGCAGCAGTAGCGGCAGCAGCAGCGGCAGCAGCAGCAGCAGCAGCAGCGGCAGCGGCAGCGGCAGCAGCAGCAGCAGCAGCAGCAGCAGCAGCAGCGGCAGCAGCAGCAGCGGCAGCAGCAGCGGCAGCAGCGGCAGCAGCAGCGGCAGCAGCGGCAGCAGCAGCAGCAGCAGCAGCAGCAGGCGTCAAAGAAACAAGGAAAGGTGTTTGTCGGCAGCTGGGAACCCTTGCAGGACACCTGTGTCGTGTAGAGCCAATGGAGGGGCGCAGAGGGGCGCAGAGAGGCGCAGCGAAGGGCGCAAAGATAATGATTCAGGCAGATCATAATGCTTCCACCACGCGCAAGGAGGCGCTATTTCCCGATACCAGGAAATAGCAAAGAGGAATGTGGGCCCTATAGCCTCTTCCGTCCACAGACATGACGGATAAAGTGGAAGGTAAGGCGGCGGACGTCAGAACGGACGTCTTCGCGTCCTACACCGACCTGTCAAGGAGAACGGGAACCGTGAAATATTCACCCTATGAACGGCATTCTGTACGCTGACGCGAGCGGTATGAAATCATGTGTCCAGTGAAGGTGTTCCATTGTATCCTCCTTAGTGGGGCACCTTTGGTAGTATGGGGGAATCTACCAACCGTAGATGCTGGAGATGTGCAGGTGTGTAGATGTAGACGATAGGCAGGTGTGTAGATGTAGACGATTGACAGGTGTGCACAATCCGAAGACGAGTGATGGCCATGTCCAGAATGGAGATGAGTCCATGGCCATGTCCAGAATGGAGATGAGTCCATGGCCGTGGGGCAGGGCCCTCCCGGGGCTCAGTCCAACAAGAAAACCACCCCCGAGGCCCCTGAAACTCGTCAGGGGCCTCAAGTCCAGACAAGTCTAACTGGCCTTACGAAGGAGTCGTAAGGCCAGTAAGATTGCAAACCGGTTCCTGGCAAGGCACGAATGAGCAGAGGAGAGCTTCCACGTCTGACAGAAGTTGACAGGGACAAGGTATGCTGCCACACAGGTGGACGGGGATTTCGGGACCCGTCTGTGTAAACCTCCAAGAGTCCAGGGTAAAAAGAGGCTCGCAGGGCTGCAAAAAATTGAAGGGGCCAGACGCTCTAAATCCCTCTTGCGACGAGGAGGCTTGGAAAAGTCCACAGACACCCGGATGTGTTCCACTGCCCACGGAGGTATCGGGGAGATGGACGGGCCAGGGGTGGGTACAGGGACGGGCCAGGGCTAGGTACAGGGACGGGCCAGGGCTAGGTACAGGGACGGGCCAAGGCTAGGTACAGGGACGGGCCAAGGCTAGGTACAGGGACGGGCCAAGGCTAGGTACAGGGACGGGCCAGGGCTAGGTACAGGGACGGGCCAGGGCTAGGTACAGGGACGGGCCAAGGCTAGGTACAGTGACGGGAGAGGAAAACTGCGACTATGCGTCCAAGACCTGTACGAGGAGCGGCAACTGACGGCGCTTGGATTGTCTAGCCACCACATTCCACTAGTCAATCTCCAGCTGCAGGCCAGTAAGTGGATAGATAGCAAGGAGACCCACTATCCCTTGACCGGGTAGGGGTTGATATATGAACTGAGTGAAAGATAGTGAACGACTGTGTTCATAATGGTGATCACTATCATCTGCCCGAATCACTATCTTCCTCCCCGAAACGCTAAGCGTGTTAGGTATTTTTACATTGATGCAAAACCACTTATCTTATGTAATCTCACAAACCCATTGTACCCTCTTGGAAATAAATTATTTTTATTATAATTATTATTAATAACGATAACTGATAAAGTGGGTGTCGACGGAGGTTTAGGTGGATAGGAGAGGTGATGGAGAGGGGGAGAAAGGATAGAGGAGGGAGAGGGAGGAGAAAGGAGAAGAGAGAGATGGAGGAAGAGGAGAAAGAGGGGCGGGAGATGACAGGTATGCAGATGACGGGATAAAATGCAGAAGACTTGTTATTTATATCGTCTGAGAGCAAGAGGAGGAGGAGGAGCGACTCAAGAGGAGAACGAGGGTGTGCAAAGGTGGTGTAGAGAAGTCAAGAGGAACCAGCGGGTAATCAAGAGGAACCAGCGGGTAATCAAGAGGAACCAGCGAGTAATCAAGAGGAACCAGAGAGTAATCAAGAGGAACCAGCGGGTAATCAAGAGGAACCAGCGGGTAATCAAGAGGAACCAGAGAGTAATCAAGAGGAACCAGCGGGTAATCAAGAGGAACCAGCGGGTAATCAAGAGGAACCAGAGAGTAATCAAGAGGAACCAGCGGGTAATCAAGAGGAACCAGCGAGTAATCAAGAGGAACCAGCGGGTAATCAAGAGGAACCAGAGAGTAATCAAGAGGAACCAGCGAGTAATCAAGAGGAACCAGCGAGTAATCAAGAGGAACCAGCGAGTAATCAAGAGGAACCAGCGAGTAATCAAGAGGAACCAGCGAGTAATCAAGAGGAACCAGAGAGTAATCAAGAGGAACCAGAGAGTAATCAAGAGGAACCAGCGAGTAATCAAGAGGAACCAGAGAGTAATCAAGAGGAACCAGAGAGTAATCAAGAGGAACCAGCGAGTAATCAAGAGGAACCAGACAGCAGTTAAGAGTTGGGATGGGGGAGAAACGAATGGGAATGAGCAAACAAAAGCGAAGCATGGAATAGGAGTCAAGATAGGAGTCAAGATAGGAGTCAAGATAGGAGTCAAGATAGGAGTCAAGATAGGAGTCAAGATAGGAGTCAAGATAGGAGTCAAGATAGGAGTCAAGATAGGAGTCAAGATAGGAGTCAAGATAGGAGTCAAGATAGGAGGAACGTAGGAGGTGTAGAAAGTCAATGTAAACGATACTTAGGAGAAAGAAATGAAGGAACACCAATGGAAGAGGAATGAGAGGAGAAGGGGAGAAGAGGAGAGAAAGAAACCGGCGGAAGAGAAGGAATTCACGAAGCCAGAAAATAAAAGAGAAAATAGCAAAATGTAGAGAAAAGGTTTAAAAAAAAAGTTGAATAAAAAGCGTTGACAACCTCGACCAGGTCGACCATACATGCCGTGTGCACGACGACGACCAGGTCGACCATACATGCCGTGTGCACCACGACGACCAGGTCGACCATACATGCCGTGTGCACCACGACGACCAGGTCGACCATACATGCCGTGTGCACCACGACGACCAGGTCGACCATACATTCCGTGTGCACCACGACGACCAGGTCGACCATACATGCCGTGTGCACCACGACGACCAGGTCGACCATACATCCCGTGAGCACCACGACCAGGAACAATATCCCTCACTTGCTGAGAAACCCAGCATAAGCTGAGAATAGGATGGAAGGCACGAGGGAGAGGTTGTGGAAGAGACGATGGGAGAGGAGAGAGGAAATAGGAGAGAGGCGAAGAGCAAAGGGGGGAAAGGAAGAGCAGATGAGGCAGGCCTCGAAAGATGAGACGAGTTTAAGGTTGAAGAGAATAGAAAGAGAGGTGTGGGAGGGAAAAGGAGAGAAGTGAGAGGAGGATGTAAAAAGAAAAGAAGAGGGAAAGGAGGAATAGGGGGAGTGAAAGAAAAAACTATTGTGAATGGAATTAAAGACATAAAGAAGAGGAGAAAGAATTCTATAGAAGAGAGAGAGAGAGAGAGAGAGAGAGAGAGAGAGAGAGAGAGAGAGAGAGAGAGAGAGAGAGAGAGAGAGAGAGACAGAGACAGAGAGAGACAGACAGAGACAAAGAGAGAGACAGAGAGAGACAGAGACAGAGAGAAAGAGAGAGAGAGAGACAGAGAGAGAGAAGAGGAGACCTTATGCATAAGTAATGTCCCACTAATCTCTAAGTTGCTTATACATGCAAACTTGAGGCCCCGAGGTGCTAGGCCAGAGGCAGAGATAGGGAATGGGGCCAGACATATCCAAAGTTTTAACTTAATAGGGTGATGTAAGGTAACTAGGGAGCAAGGAGGGAGGAGGAGGAGGAGATGATGACGGAGAATGGCGTCAAAGAAAACAGATAGAGAAGGAAGAAGAAAGAAGAGCTAACGATGCAGCAAAGGAAGGAGGAAGAGCAGGAAAGAGTGATAAAGAGAGGGGGACAGACAGTGGCCCATGACCCGAAGTGAAGAATTAGAACAAAAAGAAGACGAAGAGAGACTTTGATAATGAGTGGGGTAAAGAAAAGTGCAAGAATGATGAAGGACGAGAAAAAGAAAGAAAAGGAAGGAAAGAAGGAAGGAAGGAATGAAGGGGAATCCCTCTATGGTAGCCCCTCCCCCAACTGGAATTACTATTTCTGAAACGACTAAAATCTTAATCTTTAAGCAGAGGTGGGAGAGATACATAATAATTTACACGTGGAAAATAGTAGAGGGGCTGGTCCCAAACCTGCACACAGAAATAACACCACATGAGACCAGAAGGCATGGCAGGATGTGCAGAATACCCCCGTTGAAGAGCAGAGGTGCAACAGGTACTCAGGTTAGAAATATATGCACTTTGGTCCAAAACGAAATTTACTTCTCCTTACATAGCTGACACCGCCACCCCCACAGCACCACACAGCTGACCCGGGCACACATATGGGCCTCGTAGCCTAGTGGATAGCGCGCAGGACTCGTGATTCTGTGGCGCGGGTTCGATTCCCGCACGAGGCAGAAACAAATGGGCAAAGTTTCTTTCACCCTGAATGTCCCTGTTACCTAGCAGTAAATAGGTACCTGGGTGTTAGTCAGCTGTCACGGGCTGCTTCCTGGGGGTGGAGGCCTGGTCGAGGACCGGGCCGCGGGGACACTAAAAAAAGGCCCGAAATCATCTCAAGATAACCTCAAGATAACCTAACCTCCACCGCACCACACAGCTGTCACGGGCACCCCCACAGCACCACACAACTGACACCACCACCCCCACAGCACTACCACCACAAACATGGCCACACTGTCAACACACATGGCCACACTGTCAACACACATGGCCACACTGTTAACACACATGGCCACACTGTCAACACACATGGCCACACTGTCAACACACATGGCCACACTGTCAACACACATGTAACACTGAGTGGGGCGTCTTTCAACACTGTCACTCTTGAAGCCATCAGGAGACGCCTTCGT